AAAATAAGGAAGGGGAATGTTGAAAGAGCACAAGAGCCAACCCAAGACAAGCTCCTAATGGCCAAAACAACAAAATCACTAATATTGGATAAAATCCACAGAATAAAATGAGTATCCAGAAGTTCATACTAATCAAAGTAAATGTTTAAATAAATGAATAAATGAAGAAGAAGGGACAGCTTTTCCTTACAGAAAAAAATCCATTGATAAATACAAAAGTGTGGAAAATGGAAAACTGCCATTAACAAAAGATGAAATTGTTGCAGGCAAGTTCTACAAAGGACTAGTAAAATGAATAAGCAAAATCACTAGAAAAATCAGGACATTTACTAACTGCAAAGAGAAAATTAGTACTTTCCAGCACAGAAACCCAGCGGACACCTTCTTAACCAAGCGGTCAAGGTTAACACCGTCAATATCAGCATCACATATTCCCTGACAGATGCACTGAGAAGAGCAAATTATTTCTGTGACATTCTTGCCAAAAATGCTTAGCCTCAATTGAGGCTTGAGAAAAGTCTGACTAACCCAAATTGAGAGACATTCTACAAAACAGCATACTGGAACTTTTCAAAAGTGTCAAGGTCATGAAATATAAGGACAAGCAGAAGCCCTGTGACAGATTGGAGAAGACTAAGAAAACCTGACAACTAAATGCAACGTGTATTTTTTTTTTTTTTTTTTGATCCTGGAACGAACAAAGTAGAAAAACTGGGGAAATCCAAATAAAGTATTCGATTTAGTTCATGTTGTTTTACCCATGTTAATCACTTAGCTTTAATTATGCTATTATGTCAGGCAAGATGTTAACATTACCGGAAGCCAGATGAAGGGCATATGGAAATTTTATGTATTGGTTTTGTAATTTTTCTGTAATCCTAAATTATTTCAAAATAAAATTTAGAAATATTATCTCCTACTATTTTAAGGTCGCTGTTTTATCACTTTTTTTGAACCAAGGTTTGTGTGTGTATGTGTGTATTGTCATTCCAAATTTAGAAGTTTGTATGTTCCTTTTTAGTCATTTCATCTATATTTTCAAACATTTCTGGATTGAATTATCTGGTTTTCTTTGTATTTAAAGTATTTTTATTTGTCATTATGTTTTATTTTTTACTTCGCTCAATTGTTCTTGATCATGTTGAAAGGTCTACCTGAAATAGTGGCTTTTTGGGACATACTTTTCACTGTATTAATGTATTTATTTTATTTGTCATATTTTAAATATATTTTTACTTTTTTTTTGAGACGGATTCTTGCTCCATCACCCAGGCTGGAATGCAGTGGTGCAAACTTGATTCACTGCAACCTCCGCCTCCCGGGTTCAAGTGATTCTACTGCCAAGTAGCTGAAATTACAGGCACCTGCCACCATGTGCAGCTAATTTTTGTATTTTTAGTAGAGACAGGGTTTCATCATGTTGGCCAGGCTGATCTTGAACTGCTGACCTCAAGTGTTCCACTCACCTCAGCCTCTCAAAGTGCTGGGATTACAGGCATAAGCCACCACACCCAGCCTATTTTACATATTTATTAATTATGCTGTAATCCTTCATATACTTTCTTTTTATCTGTTTTATTAAATTATAAGCTATAAATATTCCTGTTATTTTTTATCTAGAAATTTTGATGAATATAATAATTTTATATTATCTCTCCTAGATAACTTGTAAATTTTCATTTTTAGTGAATCTTTAAGACAAGTGTGACTTAGAAGTGTATTTTTGAAATTCTCAAGTATGTGTCTTTTTGTTATTATTTTTCTAACTCCTGAATTTTATTTCTAAATTCATGTCACTGCAGACAGTGAATATGCCTTAAATGTGTTATGTTGAAGGATATAATAAATTTTCTTTTTGACCAATTACATAATCTTTCTGTTAATATCTTCTTTATGACCATTAATACATATATAATGCTTTTTAACTGTGTTAATTAAATTCTGCATAGTCATGCACTTAACTTTCTTCTCCTAGCTACATGTAAAAACATTCGCAATGATTCCTAATTCTTCAGTGTTTCATTCTAATTTTATTTCTTTCTGTTTCGCATGTTTTGAGGTTATGTGATTTTCTGGATGTACAGGTTTATGATTTTTATAGCTTCTTTCTGGATAGCTTTTTTTTTTTTTTTTGCCAGACTTTAATGGTCAAAAATTGATTAGGTATAAAATTCTGGATAAGATTTTTCAAAAGTATGTTTTAGCCTCAAGACTTTGAAGAGATTACACTGCTGTCTTTTTTATACAGTATTACTGAAAAGGAGACCTTTGTCAGTCTGGCTTTGCTTCGTTCTGGGGACTCTTTCCTCCCGTTGGAAGCTCCTAGGTTTCCTTTCCTCCTGCTCATTCTTTATCCTTGAGTATCTGTCAAGGTGCTTGCTGTTTTCATTTGCATCTCTTACTTGGTCCTTGGCAGATCCTTTCAATCTAAATACCCAGGTATTAGTTCTTCATGATTGTTACCTATTATCACTTTTAACACCAATCCCTTTCCATTTCTCTTCTTTAATTTTGCAAGGATCAAGTTGCTGGAACTTCTGAGCATGTTTTATCTCACTCAATTTTTCTTACTACCTTTTCTTCTCTATTAGTTCTGCATTATCAATAGTTTTGTGTTCTGAGAAAACTACTCAGCGTGATCTTCCGGATAGCATTCTTTTTCCTTATTTTTATCCACTTATTTGTACCATCCCTTAAGCTTCAAAAAGTTCTTAGGAATGCATGTGTATATGTAAATGTTGACATAGAATACCTATATTATTTTCAGTTGACAGCCTGATCTTGTTTCATTAATGTGACATCCTCACTTATCTTCCTAAAGATATTATTTTTGACTTAATGTCCTATTTTGTTGGTTCTATTGAATTTTATAGAGATATGGGTTCTCCTGCTCATTGAGCTTTTTGACCCTATTTACCATTTTGTCCTTGCCTAAATATCTGTTGACCATACCTTTATCTTTGTAACTGAGAGTGCTGGAGAAATTGTCTCTGCTATCTCTTGTGTAACAGCCCATGGAAATGTGGAGAGTCCCTTTTACTCTCACCATAGTCACCTGAGATAGGTTAGTGTGAGAATATACCACAAATGAAATACCTTAGCTAGCTATTTTCCCGAATGTGAGTGATCTTTTTATTTCCATCCTTTTCCACACATCAGGGACACACCATCCTTTATGTCTAACACAGGTTTCATCCTGCTGCAAGCAGATTCTTTGCTGCTTCTGCCTGGACCAAGGGCTGAAGGTATCAGTCACTTGCTGCCTGACCTGGGGGCTTGCCCTTTTTTTCTCACGTCTGTCTCCTCTCCATTGAGCTGCTGTGCTCACTCTTAGTGGCTATACCTGGCTCTTAATTCTGAGCTTTTGTTTCCTTATTCTGTATTTTCTATCACATGCACATTTCACTTCTTGTTTACTAGTTTCTTTCTCCATGAACATATGGAGAGGTAACTGTATGTAGGTGTTTTTAGGCTTTACTATTGTTTCAACAACTTATTTTATAGGAATGAAAATGCTGCAGAATGTGTTCAACTTGGAACACCCTGAAAGTTTTTCTGGAGTCAAACCATAAGAAATTCCCATTTCTGGAGGTCCAAAACAGGTGAATGTTGGCAATTTTATATGGTTCTATTCCCATATTAATCACACTCGTCCTTACAGCATGCATTTTGTGTATGGTTGTCATGGCCTTTTTAAGTTATTAGGTAGTAAACACAAGTGCTGCAGTTGTGTATTACTCAGTGTTTTATTTTTTGAAGTGGTTGTTAGGTCCTTGAGCAGAATAGAGATACATAGAAGGAATTTATGTTATTGTGTGTCTCAAAAACACACAATAAAGAAACACAACATAAATTCCTTCTATGTATCTTTGTGGATATGGCTCTGTTACAGCTCCATATTGTGGATGTAATTTTTCCAAACATAAAACAAGATGAGTAGATGTGGGCTTATTGTTTGCATCTGGATGGGGACAGAAATGTACCGGTGTCTGTGTATATCAGATGTGGTTTCCGCCTGTGCCATTTTCCGGAATATATCTGTAACTTCAGTTGACCTAAAATTTCAGGGATGTAAATATTAGGGAATCCTATTTTCCATGGGATATTCTATGGCTGTCAAATTTATGCACTAGAAAAATTGTCATTATTTTAATTTGCAAAAATTCTAGATCCCAACCAAAGGCAATTTTTCTTTCACTCCCAGAAAGTTTACAATGTTCTTTGGATAAAGATCCTTTGAGCTTGTTGTTCTCTTCCTCCTGTAGCCTTGAGGTTGAGGTTCATCTGGTTTCCCCTTTGGGAAACTCTCTCTTGGAAAAATTTTGCAGCAAATCTTGCATATTTATCCTCCTGGAGGAGTCTCCCCTCTTACATACCTGGCACTTCCTTCCCACATTCATAGGATTTAAGACAATGGTGTTCATATTTTTCACCAGCTCTTGGCTTACTCCATCCTCCTTTCTGATAACTTTTTTTTTAGGTTTCATTGGGTCTAAATAAAGACACATATTACTCAAGCCAGGGAAAATCATGCCTAGAAGTGTTTGTTCTTCCTTCAACTCAGAAGATGCAGAGGCTCTGGCTTCGAGATGAGATTCTTAAGTAACTGAAAATAATTTAGTCACATTACTATTCAAGGCTTGAAGAATAAGTTTCTGATAACATTTGCTTGGAGTTGTCGGTGTCTTCCCTTTATAGTTCCGTTGGCACCATTTAAGCAGTCTAATTGAAATCATTCCAGAAACACAAAAATTACTTACCACAATAGCATTTTAATTTGGTATTTTTAATTTCCTTATAAAAGTCACTTCTTTTTAAGTAGAATACTGTTTTAATTTCCAGATCCCTAAACTTATAATTCCCATTGTCAGAAATGAATTTTCTACTTATTAAATAACGATAACAGCAACACAACAACTAACACACAGTGTAGATACAGAATTTGTGGAGCCTTGAAACTTTTCTGATTTTAGGAATTCTCTTCAAGGAAAAGAACACAAAACGGGAAGGAGTATTTATTCAATATGAGAAAATGAATACAAATTGCAATTTGTGAAAAGCTAACAGACAAAAACAACCACTGAATCTGGAAAAGCATCACAATATTTTTATTAACTGCTGCTTGACCTTTGTTTTCCCCTGATATTTTGGCTCAATCTTCCTTTATAACCTTTCCCTATGATCAGGATTCATTTTTTATTATCGCTAGTTGGGAACATTTTTCTTTCACCCTCACCCCTCTTAAAGGGTAATTTTAGAATTGCCCATTTAAGAGAAAATCGAAACGGGTTTTTCATGAACTGTTTTGTGAACAACTGTTTTCATGTGCATTGCAGGTTGTGCAGTTCCTTCCCAGAATTCCAATTGATCCTGTTTTGCAAGATCGCCATAAAAATTATTTATTTTAATGTCGGAAACATACTTTATACACCTATTTCAAAATAGATTTCTAAGAGGAGTGACCTTCTGTGTCATGAGGTTTTGTTGGGAAACAAATGGGCCATACATTTTTACATTGCTGAGGATGGGAAGAGTCTTCTTCAGGCTACCTTCTGGCCCTGTTGATTCCAAGTCTTGCTGCCCCTTGCTGTTCCCACACGTTTGGTGAGAGGGGCTGCTGGGTGTGTTTTATTTCACAGTGCTTCCTCTGTGCCAGGACCTGCGTGTCACTCCGCAAAGTGAGTTGGAGCAAGAAGTATGGGCATGTTTTTGGAAGCCCTGGACACACTGGGACGGCTAGCAGTAAATTCATAATACTCAAAGTGACTGCAAATCATGTGAATATATTCCACTAAATCCAAACTAAGTGTGTCCCCAGTCACCCTCTTCTTTATTGGATTTCAGTAAGGCGTATGGGCATGGCAACAGCAGCAAGCAAGAGGGGAAACATGTCAGCACGTGGGAGTGGTCAGATGAGAGGAGGCAGAAGAGGTTGGCAAGAGCGGTTAAAATACCATACCCTTACACATTTTATCAAAAAACCTTTGGCTGTAACACACTGTCCCAGTCACTTTCTGGAATTTTCTTTTCTTTTCTTTTCTTTTTTTTTTTTTTTTTGAGACAGAGTCTCACTCTGTGGCCCAGGCTGAAGTGCAGTGGCATGATCTTGGCTCACTGTTCCCTCCATCTCCCAGGTTCAAGCGATTCTCCTGCCTCAGCCTCTTGAGTATCTGGAATTACAGGCGCAGGCCACCACGCCCGGCTGGTCTTGAACTCCTGATCTCAGGTGATCTCCCCTCCTCGGCCTCCCATAGTTCAGGGATTACAGGCGTGAGCCACTGCACCTAGCTTCTTCCTGAACTTTGAAAGAAGCCTGTGCAAATAAGGGACATGGACTTGGCTCAGTACCTTCATGGCAATGCACTGGAATTAAAACAAAGTAGTTCATAGTTAAAAGTAGTACTAAGACTATACTTTTTCTTTTTCCGTTGTGCTGTGCCTCCTCATTTTCAGTCTCCTTTATTTTGCACTTTCAGTAAGAGTTAAGCACATACACTATAAGAATTTAACCAAAAGGAATAGAATGTGAACTGTTTTTGTAGGTAGCAATTTCCAGCCTTCAAATGACTCTTTTCAAATTCTGGAATCCTCATATTACATTGACAGCGTCATATGTAGGGCTTTGTTACTAGTGGCTATGCCTATGGTACATTTGAAAGGCACCACCTTAAGCTAATGTCATTAGTAGATTGTAGATGGCTTAAAAGAACACCTGAGTATGTTGGGAAAAGGCATAGAGGCGCCATTGTGTTGTCTCTTTGAATTAATACTCTGCTATGACTCTTGTGGTTATTATTGTGAAGATAAGCAATGAAAATTCACTCTTGTAATTTTTCTAGAATTGTAAATGTCCAACATTATTGCAAATATGCATCAGTTTTCAGTGGGTATAATTCTACTCCATTTGACTACAATGACCATGGAGATGCTGTGTAGCAATGCACACTTTCAGCGGCCTGCTCTAAGCTTTTGAATAAGATCATGTTTAAACACCTTGGCATGAAGTGATTCTCGATAGCTGTGGCAACTTGACCTGCTTAAAAAGAATGTAGAAAACATATATATCTAATTTCAAAACGAAGTTTAGCATCATTCCAGTTTTGTAATGGTGTTTTGTTTCCTTCTAGATTGTATAATCTTACAGATCCGTTAAGCCTTTGGAACCTGTTTTTCTCTTTTATCAAAAACAACAATTTTGCAAAAGCTGCTTGTTTGGGGCTACATCTAAAGAAGTATTTTCTATGTTGGGCCCAGTGGGAATTCAATTATACCTTCCAAATAATGGATGTCTATTTTATTCAAGGTTGTGTTCTCCACTGTGAGAAATTAGATTATGATTTTCGATTCTCATTATCTTGTAACCAATGGAAGATAGATAACGGCACAAATGAGAACTTGCTTTCTCCAGAGGAGTTCATGCTGTTAAAAAATAAAAAAAGAAAAAAAATGCCAAAATGCTTTTGATAATATGCAGTGTAAGTCCTCTCTCTCTATGTAATCTCTCATTCTCTTACACAAACACACACAAACACACAAGCATTCACATATAAAATCACTATCATTAAAGCAATGCTTACTTAGCTTTATTGTTATTTATCCTTAGTTTCATTATTTAATAGTTAGTGAAAGTAAAAGCCAATGCAAGGTGGCAGAAGAATAATCAGAAGTGCAGTATTAGAAAAAGTAATCCCACTTATTGACTGCATTTGCTTTTATTTTATACCCGAACACTCCTAAAAAAAAGTATTGCAGAAGAGAAAGTGACTGTGTGAGTCAGGTTCTCCAGACGGAGAGAAGTAATAGAAAATATGTACATATGAAAGGGAGTTTGTTAAGGAGGTTGACTCACAGGATCACAAGGTGAAGTCCCTCAATAGGCCATCTGCAAGCTGAGGAGCAAGGAGCCAGTAGTGGCTCAGTCCAAGTCTCAAAACCTCAAATGTAGGGAAGCTGACCATGCAGCCTTCAGTCCATGTCTGGAGGCCCTAGAGCCCTTGGCAAACCACTGGTGTAAGTCTAAGAGTCCACAAGCCGAAGAACTTAGAGTCTGATATTTGACGGCAGGAGGCATCCAGCACAGTAGAAAGATGAAGGCAGAATGACTCAGCAAGGCTGCTCATTTTACCTTCCTGACTGCCTGCTTACACTAGCCATGCTGGCGGCTTATTGGATGGTGCCCATGGAGATTGAGGGTGTCTGCCTCTCTCAGTCCACTGACTCAAATGTTAATCTTCTCTAACAACACCCTCACAGGTACACCCAGAAACAATACTTTGCATCATTTAATTCAATCAAGTTGACACTTAATATTAACCATCAAAAGTTCACCCCTTATCAACTTGAACCCATAAACATCTGAAATCACACATAATCCCTAAGTGAGGACGATAATAAGGTCATAATTATGCCTGACATAATACAGTTACCTTTCCTACAACTGGAAGCTCACTAATCCTTAACCTAAATGCTATTACATAAAGTCAACAACACTTAAATGCTGATATGAAGTCAATAAATCTTATGTCAAATGATAAAGGAAAAAGAAAGGAAATACAATAACGCTATTTTCTTGGTACAAGTGTATACATGCATGAAGATATTGTAAAATAAAATAATATTTTTAGGTAATATTTATGACAATTACAGTTCTCCTTTCTGTAACTGGTTGCGTGGTCGTAGCCAGTATGGATGACTACCGTCTTCTACTACCCATTCTGTATTACCTTTGCTTTTAGCAAGCACCTCAGTAGGTCGTGGTTTTTTACCTGGTAGAGTGACCCCCCAGTCCTTCATCCTGAAGCATCTGGTCTATTTGTAATCCTCCCTGGACAGGGTTGCTGTAGTTTCCCATTGATCTTAATCATAGGGCATGGTAATACTACTAAGAGATACCCTAAGACATCTCATGTATTCCACACATACTCTGCCTTACCTCCATGGAGTAGTAGACTGATTTCATCTTCATAGTCCTAGTGAATCACACCAGCCAACAGTGTAACTCCTTCTTACCCTGTTGACTTAGATATAGGAGGAGCCCAAAGTTTCCCAGTGGCAATCTTAACTTCCAGTTAAACGGAAACATTGTTGCATCTCCTGGTGGCAGCATTCCTCCCTTTGGAGCTAAGACCACTATGCCAGCAGAATGTGATGTCACAGGAACAGGAAGCAAAAACATCACTAGTGGGTCACTACGGGCGATGGTTAGTGGCGCCACTTGCACTTCTATCCTTCATTCCTGGACCCGTGAATCCTGGCTGTGGGAGAACTAATACTATATATTGGGCGATGATTCAGGGCATACACAGATTTCTGGAGAACTTTGCCTATCCACATATCTCTTTCCCAAATTTCTTTGTCACCAATTTTTAAATCATGCTTCTTCTAGGTCCCTGACCATCTAGCCAAACCATTGGCTACAGCCCATGAATCAGTATATAGTCACACATCTGGCCATTTCTCCTTTCAAGCAAAGTGTACAACCAGGTGCACAGCTTGAAGTTCTGCCCACTGGAAAGATTTCCCTTCACCACTGTACTTCAGGTATGTCCTAGAAAGGGGCTGTAATGCTGCAGCTGTGCACTTCCGGGTGGTGCCTGCATATTGTGCAGATCTCTGTGTACACCAGGCCCTAGTCTTCTCTTCCTCTGTCAGTTGATCATAGGAAGCCCTCCATGAGGTCATGGACACAGGCTTGGGGAGAGAGGGCAGGGTGTGTGGGGGCCACGGGCATTTGAATCTCTTCCTCCCGTAACTTAATTGTGCCTTCAGGACCAGCTCGAGCCCCATCACATATATACCACTTCCATTTGAGGATGGAATGCTGTGGTGAATGTTCAACTTGATGGCTTGGTTGGTAGAGAAAGGACCCAGTTCCTGATAGGCAATTCGGGTTGCATGGTGACTTATTGACTCATAGTCCAATGTTCAATTTCTACCAAGGCCCAATAATAGGCCAATGGCTGTCTCTCAGAAAGAGAGTAGTTATCTGCAGAAATGGCAAGACCTTACTTTACATTCCTAGAGACCTCCACTGTGATTTATCTATGAGGGCCTGCGAAAGGCTCCAAAGAGCACCCCTATCTGCCATTGACACCTCAAGCACCATTGGATCTGCTGGGTCATATGGCCCAAGTGGCAGAGCAGCTTGCCCAGCAGCCTGGACCTGTTGCAGAGCCTTCTCCTGTTCTGGACCCCACGCAAAACTGGCAGCCTTTTGGGTCACTAGATAAATGGGACCAAGTAACATATCACAATTATGAAATATGATTATGACCAATGAGAAAAACTAGCAAGATAGATGGGTAAAAAAATAAATGTAAAGATTAATTGTACAATTTTAGAAATAATGAACTAAGAATATAATGGAAATAATTTTATATGCAATAGGACAGAAATATAATAAAAATAAGTCTAATACATATGGGTAAAACCTATATGACACCTAAGATATATTTGAATAGTTAAAGAAATAAACAGAAGCTTGTTTTAGAAAAGAAAATCCAAAATTGTGTTATCAATTCTCATCAGTTGATCTCTATCTTCCAGAGATCATTTGTAAAAATTAAATACTAAAATAATCACAAAATCATGAGAAAGAGTAGTGAAGTGTGAAATTAGTAGTTATAAAATTAGAACATGAAACTATAGTGATTATAACTCTTTGATACTAAAAAAGAAATACATTTACTGTGTAATAGATCGAGAAGTTAATAATAGATCAATAGACATAATTTCATCTATAAAATGTAGTCATGTTATTATCAGGGTAAATTTTTTTATCCACATCTTATTACAAAATAAATATTAAAAAATGAAATCATAGGCTGGGTGCTGTGGCTCACGTCTATAATCTCAGCACTTTGGGAAGCCAAGACGGGTGGATCACCTGAGGTCGGGAGTTCAAGACCAGCCTGACCAACATGGAGAAACCCCATATCTACTAAAAATACAAAATTAACAGAGTGTGGTGGCACATGCCTATAATCCCAGCTACTTGAGAGGCTGAGGCAGGAGAATTGCATGAACCTGGGAGGCAGACGTTGCAGTGAGCCGAGACCTTGCCATTGCACTCCAGCCTGGGCAACAAGAGCAAAACTCTTCCTCAAATAAAAAAATAAAATAAAATTCTAAAGGTACCTGAAGAAAAATGGATGTTTCAAAGTCTGGAAAGCTTTTTTTTTTTTTTTTTTTTTTTTAGCAGAACCATAAGTCTAGAAATCACAAACAAACAACAAAAATGTTAGTGATTTTGAAAACCTACGTACTAGCATAAAACAAAACGTAACTTAAAGCAACATTGAAGATTATTGGAGAAAAGTTGCTATTTCAATAGTTTATCAATAAAGTACTGCAATTATCATCACCTCATCTGCACCTGATGAATAAAAATAAATTATTTCAAAGTTTATAAAAGTGCAACAATTATTTACAAGACAGGGTAATCACACAATAAAAGTTTTTATTCCTGAGACTTAAGTTGGGTAGGTTTACATTTTCATCAAGGAAAACAGAAGTATGATGTTAAATTCAAGTTCTATTCACTGTACCTTGGGAGATTCCCTCCACTATTGGTAAAAAGTTTTATTATCTAAAATCACACACATTACATGTACTTGTACAATGGCTATTTTGCCAAAGATGGATTCCCTAAAATTCTAAATTTATTTTCTCCATCTTCAGATTGTTCAAAACATTGCAACAAAAATTACAGAAAAAGGTAGTTGAGAGTAATTGGACAGTGAAAGAGAGGATCAAACCCTGTCCCAGATCAAATGACATTAAGGAATAAAAAAAGTTCTATAATCTCTCATAAATCACCAAAAAAATGGGCTATTGTGACAAAAATTTTTTGTAATGAAACCCTTAACATCATCCTAGTATCTTCACCAGGATCAGTATATTTCTCCACCATGCCAAAGAACACCTATAATAGTTGAGGACATAATAACATTTTTCCAAAAAGTGATTCTATTGTCGTAAATCATCTGGCCAGGTTACTTCATAACTACTTCTTCAACTGAGTTTCAATATTGGCATATAGACTTTTGGTTTTCTCATTTATCTTTCTTTCATCCATAAGACACGTAATTTATAATTAGACAAAATGTGTCTCTATTAAGTTGAAGTAACGCCTTCATTGCTTCATCACTCTTCACAAAGGCAAAGGAGACAATGAACTGCCAACGACCTCCTCCATAAACCCTCATTTATATTCCTAATTCTTCCTTGCTGTTGGGCCTGATTTACTTTCAACATCTTTTAGGTAAACCAAACTGATACATGGTCAATCTAAATGAGAGAAAAATGTTCTGTAACAATCAGGAAGATAAATCAAAACCTTGTAAGTTTTCCTTACAAATTGGAGCAATATTATGGTTTCAACAGTTTATCAAAGTTAAGAGCAGTGATTCTTGTTCTTAGCTGTCCATTACAAACACCAGGTGAGGGGAGTGGGTAATTTACACCTTGAATCTTAGGCTTTCCATTAGTCCATTCTCACACTGCCATAAAGAACTACCTGAGACTGGATAATTTATAAAGAAAAGAGGTTTAATGGACTCACAGTTCCACAGGCTGTGGGGGGCATGGTTGGGGAGGGCTCAGCAAACTTACCATCATTGCAGAAGGTGAAGGAGAAGCAGGCACAATCTTCACATGGTGGAGCAGGAAGAAGAGAGAGTGAGCAAAAGGGGAAGTGCCACCCACTTTTAAACCATTAGATTTCCTGAGAACGCTCTCATTATCATGAGAACAGCAAGAGGAAAATCCATCCTCAGGATCCCATCACCTCCAACCAGGTTCCTCCCTTAACACTGGGAATTACAATTCAACATGAGATCTGGGTGGAGACACAGAGACAAACTATATCAGGCTCCACTAAGAATAAATTAATCAAAATCCCCAGTACTTGGACTCAGGCTTGGGTGTTGTTGTTTTTTTTTAAACAAACAATAACGAAAAACCCCCAAAAACACCATTCCAGATGATTTTAATGTGTAGCCATGGCTGAGAACCGATGAATTAGATAATCATTTTATAGTACATTGCTTAATTAAGATAATTATGCCCATAGAGCATAAGCTATATCTGCTCCACACTTTCCATATCTAACTTTTATACCACCATTCTTCCCTCTTCTTAATAAACACATCGTCATTATAAACCATCACTGCTTTGTCTGTATCTTTAACAATAGGGAAGGGCGTGAAGGAATGTGAAGAATTTTAATCCACTTTTTATATCTCTAGGGATAACAAACTTATAGGCCTATGATTCCTCCCATTTCACACATCCCACCTGCAGCTGACAAAAAAACCCTATCACTTAATATTACCTGTGTAGGTGGTATTGGCTTCTTAAATGATCAGCCTCAGTTCTCCCTGAGGCCCCTTTAAGACTAAGTGCAGTGGCCAAGGAGGCTGATAGGACCTCTATAAAAGGAAACTCTGGCCTTCGTGGTATTTTTTCCTTACTTAATTTCAACTCCAAAATAATTTACAACTTGTGCACCCATTTACTAATTTAAATATGAATAATTTACTTTTATTTTGTGTCCTTTTATAAAATTGTGTCCTTATGAATACACATCCCCAAATAAATATTTTGTGCAGCAGCTGAAAGCTCTTGTCTGTCCAGCTGTAGACGGCTTGAAGACAGTTTTAATTTTATTTATCAGGTTGGGAGATTTACTTGGAAGAGTGTTTATTTACCCAGCTCATGAAATACTTCTTACTGCTTGTATTGAAGGAAGGGAAGAAAATCTGTTGACATAAGTTTGATATCTAGGGAGAAATTTTAAGTTAATCTTGACACTCAATTCTTTTTTTTTTTCCTGTATTTTCCTTTACAGACTTCAAATGACTTCTCTGCAGCCAGGAGCAACTGCAATATTTGGCTTGATGATGTATTCAATGAAAAGTTAATACAAATAAAGGTAAACCAGAATGTTTTTATTAAAACATAAATGGAGGGGGCAGTTTCTTGAATGTTTTTAAGTATTTAAGAGATCACAAAGAGGGAATTTTTTACAAGAGAATAGAAATTCCCCTAAAAGAAGTTTTATTTTTTTCACTAAAATGTGCATCATTGTAAGCATGTTTTTCAATGTTGCCCTTTCCTGCTTTGAATAGTTACAGCAGACTTTGTTTTTCTGTTTATCACATCTTTAGAGGAATGCCCAAATGCCAGGAACAAGTACAGCTGAATGCCCCTAAATTGAAATTTCTAAAAAGTGATATGCAAATAAAATGAAAAAGAGTTACAGGGATGAAACAAATTTTATAGAAACTTTTGGATTACATTTGTGCATTTTAAAAAAAATTTTCTGATGTTTTATAGGTTGGGCCTTAGATCAGATCTTTATTTTCATGTCTCATTATGATCAGATGACATAGTTTAAGGTAGAAACATACTGTCTATCTGAGAAAAGCAACACAGAACAAGTTCAATGAGATAATTCATTGGCAAGTTGAGTTTTTCCTGATGCTAATACCTGGACGTTCATTCTATCATTCATAGAGAATCACAAGACGAACTCTCCCTCAGGAAGCAGTTTGATTGTAGGAAAAAAAAATACTTCAGAAGTGGTTATGAGGGACTGTGTTAAGGAAAACCAAGTCCACAGGGGGCGTGGTTTCAAAGGCAGGAATTTTCCAGTGCCATGCCTCCAACCACGTCCCCATCCTGGAATATAAAGTTTCTGTCTGCCTTTCCTGCGGCAGGCTAGGTAGAAATTCCAGGTGTGCTTCTTTGTTCAAAAAGCCCGCAAAAAGTTCTGGGAGGAAGGGTCTCCGTTGCAGACCTAGCAGCCAATCCAGTATCAGAGTCCAAGATCAATCACTCCAGAGGGAGTTTAAAAGAACTCCTCTCATTGGACGGGAACATGAATGGGGTGGGAATAGCTCTGGGTTAAAATACCCTTACCTCTTACCTGTGCAGATTCCTCCCTTGGATCCCCTCCTACGGCAGCGTGGGAGCTCTCTCTCCTCTCTTTCATCTCTCTCCACCTAATAAATCACTCCACCTGCTAAACTCTTTGGGTCCGTGATATTTATTCCAACGACAACCCCCCTCCAGGGCCCCTTCCCCTATTCCTGGAGCAAGAGAGACCAAGGACCTAGGCACATCAGATCCGGAAAACTGAAAGCATCTTCGGGGTGCCTCTGCTCCCTCCCTGCCTTACAGTTAAGTCCTAGCATAAAGAATTATTTATTTATATTCATAGTAGACATTCATTTTAAAGTATTAGGTGAAACAGTGAACTAACAACTATAATGAAAAGTCTTATTGTACTGAAATAACATTGATGTCTACTACATTGGAAAGATTTGAAGCTTTGTAGCACGTTTTTAATGCAACAAACAAAAAGTGGAGATTGAGTGAAGATTGAGAATTTATAATCATTTTGATTCAAATGGTAATGTCACTGAGAAGAAACATTTGTTTAAGAATCACAAGTGGTATTACCATTTGAGTAAAATGATAATTTTATTTTATTAGCAAAATAGAGTACACATACTATTTGTAATTATTTTGTTATTAAATATTAAAACTAATTTAATTTCCTAGCCTCTTTCTAAAGTGTGTAGATCAATATCTAATTAGAATTTTAAAAATGAATTATTGGATCTTATGTTTAATGAGATTGTCAGTTGCCATAAGGAATTATAACCTGTTTCACATCTATTTTCTTTTCTTCTTTTTCAGCTTTTTTTTTTAGATTCAGGGGGTGCATGTGCAGGTTTGTTACCTGAGTATGCTACATGATACTGCAGTTTGGGGTTCAAATGATCCCATCACCCAGGTAATGAGCATAGTACTCAACACTTTTCAACCTTTGCTTCCCTACTCCCTCCCCTTTCTAGTATTTCTGATTTCTGTTGTTACCATCTTTATGTCCCTGAGTACTCAGTATTTAGCTCCCACTTACAAGTGAGAACATGTGGTATTTGGTTTTTTGTTCCAGTGCTAATTTGCTAAGAATAATACAGCTGCATCTATGTTGCAGCAAAGGACATGATTTCATTCTCTTACAACTTCATGGTATTCCATGGTGTAAATATACCACATTTTCTTTATACAATCCACCATTTATAGACACCTAGGTTGATTCCATGCCTTTGCTATTGTAGAATTGTGTTGCAATGAACATGTAAGAATATGTGTCTTTTTGGTTGAATGATTTGCTTTCTTTTGTCCACATACACAGCAATGGGATTGCTAGGTCAAATGGTAGTTCCAGTTTAAGTTTTTTGAGAAATCTTTAAACTGCTTCCCATAATGGCTGAACTAATTTACATGCCCATCGACAATGTGTAAGTGTTCCCCTTTCTCGACAGTCTTGCCAGAACCTGTTGTGTTTTGACTTTTTAATTGTAGCTATTCTTACTGGTGTGAGATGGTATCTTATTGTGGTTTTTATTTGCATTTCTCTGATGATCAGTGACATGAGCATTTTATTTTGTTTGTATGCCACTTTTGTGTCTTCTTTTGAGAACTGACTCTTCATGTCTTTTGCCTTTTTTTTTTTTTGAGAAAGAGTCTAGCTCTGTCACTCAGGCTGGAGTGCAGTGACACCATCTTGGCTCACTGCAACCTCTGCCTCACTGGTTCAAGTGATTCTTCTGCCTCAACCTCCCGGGTAGCTGGGAGTACAGGTGTGTGCCACCACGCCTGGCTAATTTTTGTATTTTTAGTAGAGACAGGATTTCATTGTATTAGTCAGGATGGTCTCAATCTCCTGATCTCGTGATCCGCCCACCTTGGACTCCCAAAGTGCTGGGATTACAGGTGTGTGAGCACCTGGTCCTTTTGCCCATTTAAAAATAAGGTTATTTGGTTTTTGCTTGTTAAATTTCTTACAGATTCTGGATATTAGAACTTTGTCAAATGTTTGGTTTGGGAATATATTCTCCCATTCCATAGGTTGTCTGTTTCCTCTGTTGATAGTTTCATTTGTTGTTCAGAAACTCTTCAGTTTCATTAGGTCCCACTCACCAATTTTTGTTTTTGTTGCAATTGCTTTTGAGACTTTAGTTATAAATTCTTTTCTGAGGTCAATGTTCAGAATGATGTTTCCTAGGTTTTCTTCTAGGATTCTTAAAGTGTGAGGTTTAACTTTTAAATTTAAATCTTTTAAATTTTGAGTTAATTTTTGCATATAGTGAGAGGTAGGTGTCCAGTTTTATTCTTCTGCATATTGCGAGCCGACTACCGCAGCAGTATTTTTTGAACAGAGTCCTTTTCCTATTGCTTATTTTTGTCTATTTTATCAAAGATCAGATGGCTGTAAATGAATTTCATGTATTTTCAAGAAAAGACTATGTTTATAGGTGATGCTATCAATAAAGCACATACCATATAAAGTAGTATCTAGGCTTATGATAATATGTTTATTATATTTGACAGTAAGCAGATACAGCAATTTGTGGGACCAAATGCTACATTTTTTTCACAAGTGTTTTTCATGGCATTGAAAGACACTTGGTTTAACCAGAGAAAGAGCATGGAATTATGGAATTCTAGTTCTGCGACTAATTTTGTGACATTGGACATATTTAATCTTCCTGCTTTATTATAAAATAGAGATGACAATGACAATGTATATCCAACAATGTCTTTCTTAGGAATTGATCTGATAATGCCTAGAAATTCTCAGCGCACTGTGAAACTCAGTAGCTTACCTACCACTGCAATCTTAATTTTATTATCCAGTAAAACAAATTCTGATATTGGATAATGCTAGATACCAAGTGTGTTTTTTTTTCTTTGTTGGTAGCCTTTCTTATTGAGAACGTGGCATGGTATCTTTTCTGCAAAAAGGTAGAAAAGGAAAAATCTGAGCTGATGTATGTATGGGCTTTTTTCATTTTCTTTTAAACATGCAATCTTCAATGTACCCATATATTTCCCCCTTTAGCATAACGATTACTATTATAGGATTTTTTTAAAACCCACTAAATTGGCAAATGACCCATCTCACACACTCATACACACACATATATGAGAGAGAGAAAAAGAGAAAGAGAGAATCCCTAGGAATTTGGTCCAAAATATCAGCTAAGTGCATTGTACAGAGCAAGTGCTCAGCAACTCT